TTTTTAACTGGTGAAGATGTTTCTGAATTGCCTATATACATATCTACTACGCCAAAGCAGGTACATGAGAATGAAACGTACATGCCTTTTTTCCCATATCATGTAGGCCAAAACGTGTCCTCGAGTTGTACGCCCACAGCTTGTATTCGCCCATTCCAGAGACCCACAGATTCGATACATTCATTTCCTTCCTCATCATCGAACCCCTCTTCTTCCCAACAACCACACCCCTTTTACGGGCATTTAGGTCATGATATAGCGGGTTTAACACCATTGGAATCAGATGTTGTTCCATGTAACATAGGAGATGCAGGGTATGTGATTGGAATGTGCCGGGATTATGGAATGATAATCAAGAAGAAAGTGATGAATGATATGACCCGTTGGGAGAGTCAGAAGAAGGAGACTATGAAGCAGAATTTGTGAATGATGACTATGACGATGCACTTGATGAAGAGTCTGAGCCTGATGTGGAACAGGTACATGCTGAGATTTGTAGGGATGAAGCAGCGGTCCAACAAATGGGGTGTGATGGTCTCACTGGACAGCATAATTATGAGAATTTGCAACTCATAGTACAGTCTTCTGGAACAAATGATGTTAAGGAGGGCGAAGTATTTGATACGAAGAAGGAGTTGAGTTTGAGAATGCATTTAGTTGTAATGCGGCTGAATTTTCAGTTTAAAGTAAAAAAGTCGACACCGGAACTATATATACTATGCTGCGTTGATACTAGTTGCACCTGGAGACTTCGAGCTACAAAGCTGAGGGACTGCAATTTGTTCAAGATAAAAAAATACTATAGCATCCATACATGCAACGGTGGAGTTTTGAAACAGGATCATAGGCAAGCCAAGAGTTGGGTGGTTGGACATCTTGTCCAAGCGAAGTTTACAGACGTCTCCCGCACGTATAGACCGAAGGACATAATACAAGACATGAGGAAGGAGTATGGTGTGAATTTAAGTTATGACAAAGCTTGGCGGTCCAGTGAGGAAGCACTTCGACTTATTAGAGGGGATCCAGCATCGTCATACGGTCTACTACCAACTTATGGTGAAGCATTAAAAATCATGAATCCAGGTACTATTTTCGAATTGGAACTCAAAGGTGGAAAATATTTCAAATATGTCTTTATGGCTTTGGGTAAATCGATTAGAGGGTTTCTGGCTTGTATTCGACCAGTGTTGGTTGTCGACGGGGCCCACCTAAAAGGGAAGTTCATAGGGGTATTGTTAATAGCTTCTGGTGCGGATGCGAATAACCAGATTTACCCCGTTGCATTTGCTATTGTTGACGGTGAGACTGTAGCATCATGGGTATGGTTTATGACTCAATTAAAAGGTACGCCCGGCGTAGTGAACAATTTGGTTTTCGTTTCTAATAGACATCACACTATTTGTAAGGCAATTGACAAGGTATTTCCCACGGCATTTCATTGCTTTTGTATACAACATATTAAGATGAACTTGTTAGCAAAATTTAAAGTCGATGCAAAGGCACTCGAGGAACTATTTCTAAAAGCTGCGAAAGCATATCGAGAGTCTTATTTCAACTCAATCTGGGCTCAACTTGGTGCGTACCCTGGTGTGAGGGAGTATCTGGATGACATTGGAAAGGAGCGTTGGGCTCGTTGTTTCCAAACAGAATTGAGGTACACACAGATGACCAGTAATAATGCGGAGTCCGTGAATGCCCTCTTTAGACACGCGCGTAAGTTGCCAGTAACTGCGTTATTGGACCATATTAGAGGTCTGTTACAGACTTGGTTCTACGATCGACGGACGCTTGCCTCTTCCCGATCAACCACATTGTCCTACTACGCAGAAAATAAGCTTGCTGAATACTCGGACAATGCCAGGAGACACGTTGTAGTGAACATCGACCAGTTTCATGTCCAGGTACGTGATGGTAACCTTGACGGGATTGTTNTGCCAGGAGACACGTTGTAGTGAACATCGACCAGTTTCATGTCCAGGTACGTGATGGTAACCTTGACGGGATTGTTGATTTCAACTCTAGGACATGTAATTGTCGGGAGTTTGATTATTTTAAAATTCCATGCTCTCATGCTATTGCCGAGGCGATGATGCGAAACATAAATCCGTACACTCTGTGTGACGAGGCATACACGACGAACTCCTGGGTAATGGCTTATGCAGAACCAATATTTCCAATTGGTCACGTCTCAACGTGGAACAGTTCTCCAGATTTTGTCGATACACCGGTAGAAGCACCATATATGGTTCCTAGAGTTGGCAGGAGGCGGACAGTTAGGATTCCTTCCACGGGCGAGGTGCGCCAAACACGTAAGTGCGGTCGGTGTGGTACATCGGGGCACAATCACAAAACATGTAATGAACCCCTTAACACAGCGTAAATGTATGATGTATTGGTAACTTGTTGTTTTTTCATAAATTTGTGTGGTAACTTGTACCCCAAGCAACCAACCATGCATGCATGCATTGGTAACCCTATGTGTTATATTATTATTATTATCATTATTAATGGGGATGAAAGGGGTTTCATTTTCTGCCTTTCATCTCCGAGGCGAAATGGTTCAGGATAAGGTCCGTGATGGAAGGCTTTCCAAACATAATGCATTCTGCCTTCCATCCCGGACCTTATCCCGGACCGTTTCGTTCCGGGATGAAAGGCAGAGAATATGATTTCATTTTCTACCTTTCATCCCGGAGGCCAAATGGTCCGGGATAAGGTCTGGGATGGAAGGCTTATGCAGCCACTTCGAATTCGATCCCGGATTCAATCCCGTACTCTATCCCGGACCAAAATCATCCAGGATTGAATACGGGATTGAATCAGAGATTGATTTTTTCCCCAAATTTCTCAGTCCTACAAGCACAACATGAAAATGACCCTAGATCTACATGGCTGCTTTAGATAGCGCCGATAATGAAATCAGAACAACAAACGTTTCTAAAAATTTTGTTATAATCTACCCGACCACTAACCTTGCGATTGATGGCTTCGTATGGCGAAACAATGGAAGAGAAACGTCCGAGATAACTTCGTAAGGTCCGGGATGGATGAATCGTCCAACGTCCTTTGTCCGAGATAACGTTCAATCCGGGATGGGTTTTAGGGCTTTAGGACAAATGAAACGTTCGAGAAAGGGTGAAAATTTTCGTTGGGCCAGGAAACGTCCGAGATGGGGTTCAGGATTTTACTTATTTACTTGGACGGAGTTCCCTTCATTTTTAAACATGAGGGTACTATGGTAAATTGGCTTGGGGAGAGGTTCAAAATTAAGTAGCGGTGGGGTCAAAAATTAGATTTTTTTAAAAGGGGTTCATTTATCCAATTTGAACTATTTGTAGGGTCAAAAATCTCAATTTCCCAACGAAGGAGAAGGAGAAGAAGAAAAGAACAGGAAAGAGAAGGGAGCCAGGAAAAGCCAAATGTCTTGAATTGCCACCAATAAACAATGTGAACTGTTGAGCCAACAGAGGAGAGATTAAGTTTCGTGTGTGTAGATTTTGAGATTTTGTTCAAGAGAAAGAAGTGAAATTGGTAAGTAAACGTGTTTGAGATTATGGAATTTGTGGAACAAGAATTAGAAATATTGGAAATTGAAAACCTAAGACCCGTTTGATAACCATTTCGTTTTTTATTTTTGGTTTTTAGTTTTTATGTTTTAAAAACACGATTGTTTGATAATCAATTCAATTTTCTGTTTTTTGTTTTTCAAAAACTATTTGTAAATTTCAAAAGAAAATAATAATAATAAAACGGAGTTTTCAAAAACAGAGTTTTTATTTTTCAAAATCTCATTTCTTTTTCTAACACTCAACTTTTTTTGTTTCACGTATTTATCTCTAAAAAATTTATTTTTCACTCTAATTTTTTTTTACTTCTAAATTTCTCTTTACAAGCTTTATTTGCTCTATCCAACATTTTCTGTATTTTTATTTTTTTTTCCTAACAAACTAGTTTCATTTCTCTCTTTAAAAATTTAATTTTTTTCCTAATTTTTTTCTCTCGAAAATTTCATATTTTATAACTTTTCTGTCTTTCCGTAATCTATTTTTCTTCTAAAAATTATATTTTATTTTCTCGTTCAATTTTCTTTCACTATAACTATATTTATCTTTGTACTTATTTATTTTATATAAAAATTATATTTTGAATCTTGTTTTTATCTCTAAATTTTTTCCACTATAATTTTTTTCTTTTTTCATAATTTCTTTTTTTTAACATATCTTTTCCTCTCGACTTTATTTTTTCTCCAAAATTTTTCTCTTTTTGTCTTTAACTTTTCTCTTACTATTTTTTTCTAAATATTTTTATTTATCTCTCTAAAATTTATCTTCAAAAAGTTTATTTATATCTCTATTTTCATGTCTCTGCACGAAAGACAAAAATTTTCGCAAGGTCAGGTCCCAAAAATAGAAAATGCATGTCCCGACCCCGTCCCCGTCCCTGATTCCATTTTTTAAATAATATATATATTTATTACACTTTTTTATATTTTAATTCTAAAAATAATTAAAAACAATTATAAAACCGATAATTTTTCTCGAGAACATCTCTCAGACCCAAGAACGAGGTATAGACGGAGACTAAAAATTTTCACGAGCCCGAGAATGGGGGAGATCATCCTCACTCGCACCTACACCATCTCTACTCTACATAAAATTTTATCTCTCTAATATGTATTTTCAATTTTCTAACTTTTTAAAAACAAAAAACTAAAAATGGTTACCAAACATGTTTTGGTTTCTTGTTTTTTAAAAATAAGAAACAAAAAATGGTTACCAAAATATATGGTTTTTGTTTTTTAAAAACAGAAAACCAAAAACCAAAAACTAAAAATAACAAAAACCAAAAACCAAAAACTAAAATGGTTATCAAACGGGCTCTTAGTTGTGGGTTTTTCTCTAATATCTTAAATGTTGAAGTAGCAGGTTAGAAGAGTTGTTGATTACAGATTTGTGGCCTTAATAGTTGATTTTACAGGGAAGTTAAGTTTTATTTATAAGTTCTTTGGTAGAGTTCCGAGGAAGAACTTGTTGAGGCCGTGGATAATGAAAGATGAGAAATGAAGGTTAAGTCTATAGGTTTTCATAAGGAATTGAAGATGAAATAGAAATCAACTGGAAAGAGGTTTTTGGTTGAGAAAAGAATAAGAGAACAGAGAGCAGGAAGGAAGAAATGGAGAAATTTCGTGGGTTTTAATGGAGAAGAAAGAAGAAGAGGATGACTTGAAAAGGAATGGGTTTTGTGGGATCCACTTGTAACTGTGGTTTTAAATGAAGAGAGAGAATGAAGTTGTGAATTTGGATTATTGATATTTTTGAAGTTATTGTGATTTAAATTGGAATTAGTTTATGTTGGAATTAAGAAAAATAATTTGGTATTTGATTGGTACTGCAGATCAAGCGGAATTTGGAACAGTGGACGATTCGCTTTAAAGGATTTGTAAGTGGTTACTTCATTAAACGTTTTCTATTATCTAGTATTACAGAATTTCTGAACATATATTATGTATGATTTAACATTTCTGCTGTATTTGTTTGAGAATTTAAAAATGTTTGTGAGAATTTAGAAATGCTTTATTGTTGCGTCTCAGCTTAATAGCTAGAGGTTAAGTGCAAGTGCACACTGTCACAACTAATAATCTGGAAATGTTCCAAGTTTGTCTCCACAGGGACTAGTTTTCTTTTAAAATTGATTTTGTAAACTGCTTGAATGAGCAATCGAGTTTGGGAATAAAAATTGGTGGAATTGTTGGGAACACGAAAAACACACCAAAATAATAGAATTTAAAAGGCCAACCCCTCTACTTCTGTTTAGTTCTAAAATGATGAATTACACCTATCAAATGTGCCTGTAATTACACTCAATTTATGCAAACTGGTTCAACTCCTATTTCATACCGCTTTTGGTTTGTTTAGAAGTTTAAGCTAGTGTTTACATATGTCTATGCAACCCTAGAATCCTAAATAAATCAAGCTCCAACTTACGTTTAACGGGGTAAGAGAGCCTATGTCTAGGATCTTGTTTTAGTTTTTATTTATAAGTAACTTCCCGTTTTACCTTGATGAGATCCGTTTGACTCTAACCTTTTCAGAATTAAATTCAAACTGGTGTGATTTAAACAAGTGGCCAACAAGAAAATCAACTGGATAAATTGTATCAATCAAGATAAGTAAAGAGAGCGTAATACGCCGTGCTCACTGATAGATGTAATTTAAATAGATGAACTAAAGCATTCGTAGGAGGGTTGAAGAAATAATTTAGCTACTCATGGAAGTAAAATAAATGACAAAACAAGATAAGATAACAAAAGAAACCATTTTCATTGAAATGGAAAGGGAAGTACAAACTTAGAACAAATAGAATTGAAATAAAATGAACAAAAAATAATTTTAAAAACAATAAAGGATGAACAAAACTTAAAACTGGAATTCAAACTTAGAAGATAAAGTTGACAAGAATTAGAAAGAGAAAGCAAAGCATGGAAAATGAGATGTCTTGAAGTGATGCTTGAAAGTTCCTTTTATAGGCTATGAAGGTAACAAGATGTTGAGAAATGTATGAGAGGTTGGAACCAAATGAGGTTGTAGAGATTTTAGGAACTAATAACAAATCTTGGACCAATTACTTGTTCAAAAGTTGTTATTCCCGTTTTGACAATCTAGGCATCAAATGTGGCTGAAGCATTGTGAAGCTGGAACTTTCAAAACAATTTGGCTGGTGCATTCCTCTAGTAAGCTGGAAATTCTGGTCCTACAATGTGCATGACGCATTTTGATCATCAATCTTCACTTTTCCTTACAAAATAAGCATATTTACACAAATTAGCGTTCATTTAGCTATAACTGAATTCCAAAGTCCCTAATCACAAATTATGCACATTTTCCCTAAATTATATGCTTGAACATACATTTTTCATCATAATTAACTCCCAACTAAGCATGTAAAACTACTATTTTTAGCTTTTAATCAAGTCCTATCATTTATGATTTTAAAGAAATGTTTAAAGTTAGAAAAAGATTTTAGAATTTCATGAATGGTTTTATAGAGATATATTATAGAAATAATTTAAGAAAGTTAGAAAAATTCATAGAAACAAGAAAATAAGAATTTTAGAACAGTTTATTGAGATTGAGAATAGTTTTCAAACCACCATGTTATTGTATCCAGGTGATTACCCATATGCTATAATAATGTGTTTCTATAGTATACCAAGAAATAGAAGATCTTTGGGACCCTTTGCCTCCGCACGTTGAGAGAATTATTCTGCTGTGTGTATTGAGATTACTCTACGCTAGTAGACCATAATAGAATATGGGTAAATGTGTGGTGTTGAAATTTCTGTGATCTGTTTTATGATTGAAGAAGAATGTTTTACAGGTT